AATTTGAAAATTAAAATACGAAATGATCAAGTAGTCAAATTTGGAAAGAAAAAAAGACGAGTATATTCTTGTTTTTTAAAAGGAACAACGACTATATTCAAACCATACCGTACAGCAGTAATTACACCAAGTTTTAATTACTTTTTATAAAAATAAGGAAGAAATTGACCCATTAAATCCTTGGAATCTATACAAAATTGAAACACAATTAATTGCCATTGAATTGCACCTAATTACTTAAATAAATCACGTTAAAAATGTAATCAAGGGTATTAGAGGAATTTTAAAAAATATAAAATTTAACACATTAAGCTTGCTTAGGAAATTTAATGAGTTGGATCCTAGTTATCGGGTTTTTCTTATAAAAATCGGGTTTTATTTATAGAAAAATAAAACGATGGGTTGTAGGTAAGAAAATATTAATTTGAAGGGAAAGAGTCAAATTTACTAAAGATAATATTTATTATTTAAATTAAACACATATATGCATAACAAGAGAAAGAGGCCTACAAAACCTCTGTTATTCTAGCGTTTTTTAGTCAGTGCATATTAAGGTGGAAAAGCCATTATTTAATTATGGTCCAAAAGCCAACTATTATACACTTCACTCTCCGTCTTCACTGGAGTCATCGCTTTCGCTTCCAGAACTGGACTCCTCTTCTACCGGTTTCTTGCGGCAAATGTACTTGTTGCCAAACCTGAAAACTCCGGCCTTGTCGGCTTTGCTTGATGATGGCTTGCCTTTCTTTTTCTTAGAGCCACTCTTCGTTTTGCAGCCACATTTTCCATTGCTCTTGGAAGCAGCTGCTGGCTGGGGGCCATTACCTGGTGGCCTCGAGAACCTGCTGTTTTGGTTCTCCAAGTTAGGCTTTAGAAATACCTGGCCTGTCGACATTTTTTATCTACAGTTTGCATACACATCTTGGTAATTAACTTGGGTTCTTATATAAGTGTTAGCTTTGTCGAGAAGATAATGCGATGTGACTGATGATGATATTCCTTCAAGGAACAAAGAAGGTGGGTACTAGATATTTATATGAAATTTATCAAACAGTTCGTCCCCATAGCACTTTACTCAAAAGAGTATCAATTGAATTTCACGGGCAACAAAAAGGACCTAATAAGGGTAATAGCCTTCACTCACCCTCAAATAAATCTGTCACTTAGCCATACGCGATCGGTAAACCCACGAATTAACTTTATTCGTACCATCAAATAGAAAGAAAATTTTATTCTGACTATACCTTTTCTTTTTATAAAAAGTAACGTATATATTACCCTTTCTCTTTTGCTACGAAGACGTAAAGCATTTTGAGGACGTTGTTAGGCTTAGGAAACATATCTATCAATACTATTATGTAAAAGAGGAGGCTTTACTAATCCTTATCTTTTTTATCATCATTTTCTCTCTTTATCTTTTCTATTCTGTCATTCTCACACGCATTACATATATGTAAGTGTTTCTAATAAGAGTTATTATTTTATTATTAGAAAATGTTTACAATAAGAGTAATTATTTTATTATTAGAAATGTTTTGTACAAGTTGAAAATGAAACCAAAAAATGCCATTAGTTAATGAGCTTATCAAGAAATAATGAAACCTTTGATATTCAATAAGGGTAATAAAAAATTTAAAATAAGAACATGAGTCCTACTTTCTGATTTCTAAAATATTAAAATAATAATACTAGTAAACCAATTGGCACATGGCTAAATAGAGTAACATTTTTCAAGTGGCTAGAAAAAATAATCTTCCAGTCACTTTGCAGATTACTTAGTCCCAATTAGTTACTTGTCGTTGGAAACCTCATGAGGGGGATTTGCTAAAATTAATTGTTGATGGGGCATGTTGTGTGGCTGATAAGATGGGGCTAGTAGCAGTAGTCTGAAATGCTAATGAAGAATTAATGGATGCCATGGCTAAATTTGTAATTGGTTGTCTTTCCCTTAAGGCTTTTGAAGCCTAGGTTGTCATATGGCATTAGATGCAGGATTCATAAGGTTGATTATTGAAAGTGATTGTTTGGAGGTGATTAAGGCCGTGAACCGAACTGAATTTTACATGAGCACTCGTTCATGTAATTTTGTGGCTCACCAATTAGCCAAATTTGCTTTATCTAATGAGCAATGTTACTGGATTGAAGGGGCCTAGCTGGCTTCACTCTTACCTTCAGATGATTTGTGTTCTCTGCATTCTATTGATGAATAAGCTCTTTAGTCTTTGCCCTTTAATAAATAAATAAATAAATAAAGATTGCTTAATCCCGACATATTTTTCTAGTACTTGCTATTTGAAAATAACTGTTCCCAAATGAAATATAATTTCATAAGATTGAATACATCCACCATAACTGCGATTGAAAAGGTAGATATAATCGTTACACAATTTTTTTTCTTTGAAAGTAAGAGTGACTAGATAAAATTTACAGAATATTGTTGAATTTGATCTTTAAGCACCATGTAAGTTGCCCATATATTTTGACAACTCCATTATTTACTGTTGCCATCATATATGCAGTAATTACTTCAGAACTAATCTCTTTCGTCTTCAGTACCGGAGTCAGTTTCTTCTTCAGTCGAGTCTTCTTCAGTCGAGTCTTCTTCTTCTTCGTCTCTCTTCTTGCCGCCTCTACTATACTTGTTACCAAAGTCGAAAACTCCAACCTTGTCGCCTTTGCCTCCATTAATAGTATTCCCATGAACCTTGAATGAATCGCCGCTTGATCTGGAACTCTTTTTTTTCCCATTCTTTTTCTTGCCATGCTTTTCTCCAATATTCTTGTGCTTGTCACCTTTTCCACTATTCTTGGGCAGCTGGGGATTAGCATAAGTACTAGTTCTACTTTTCGAATTTGCCGGTTGGTTAGGTCCAGCAATTGAGCAACTATTGTCATTTGCGTGGGGTGGCGTTAAGCCCTCACTAATGTCATGTCCATGAGGAACAAAGGACGTCACATTATCATGGCTTAATTCTGAAGGATTAGTTGGGGTCGGTTGTGTGGGATAATAGTAGTAGTACGCAGGAGCAGCATTAGTAGCAGGATTAGGAGTGTAATTATTATTAACTGGATATCCATTAACCACATTAGGAAGAGGAGGAGGAGGAGCATAACCTGGATGATTATATACTTTGGAAGTAGCAGGTGCAGGAGTGCCTCTGGTACTATTTGGATTGTAGCATTGCTCTGGAGCTGGACCATTGTTGAGCAAACCCAACGCCTTCAGCATATTGGTAAATGTCATTGTACGTATCAGTTGGAAGATTGCTTTGCCTTGTCCACTTTCAAAACATGGTATATTTTTCCCCTTTATATATAGATAAAAGTGGGGGAATATTGTCAAGTGGGCATTAGCTTGCTTTCCAAGCTATATTCTCACACTTCTGTCAACATATGTATATTTTTCCTCTCACATCCTTACACAGGTTCATAAAGTGAAGAGTGACATCCTTATAGGGCCCACTTCACATTATATTTCACTAATCCAAACCGTATATTTTGTAGATATTCATTCAAAGATCATCTCTACAAAAAAATCACTTGAATCCAATATCATTTGACCATCAATTAAATTATTAAAATTTATGTACTTTCTTGAAGCACTGGGTTCATTGATTTTGTTGGTCTCAAAAAGATGCCTTAATGATTTTCAATTTGTTTGATTTTTTGCAAGGATGCTCTATGAATGAAGACTTCAAAATTAGATAGTTCGGATCGTTGAAAAAATAAACGGTACGGTACCCTAAAGGGTATCCCTCAAATAGGACAAATAAAATTATTTGAAGAATCCCTCAATGAAAGGGGACTATATTTATATTCTTTATAAGCATGTGTAAGGATGTGAGGAAAAAAATATTATTCCTTGGGATCGAACCTCAACATACATGAGGTTCTAATTGTTGGATATGAATCATGGCCATATATGTTAGAATCATGTATTTAATCCCACATCGACATGGTTAACTATGAGTCATCCCTTGATAAATAAATTTTAAAAAAAAAAGAAAAAAAGGGAGCAATCGAGTCCATCCAAAAGTTCACACTACCCAAAAAAAAGGCTAATAGGCATCGGGGGAAAATTGATGCCTTTTACTATCACATACTGATGCCTTGTAATGTGATACTAAAGCAGGGCGTAAAAGCCATCGGGGAAAATCGATGCCTTTTACATAAACAACATCAGTTTTTTCAACCAAAGTGATGCCTTAATATGCATCGTTTTCTTCATATTTGCGATTCTTTTTAACAAGAACCACTTCACTAATGATATATTTCCTGATGTCTTAAGAGGTAAAAACAACACTTCATGGTATAATATGATGGTTATGACATCGGTTGAATCTAGGTTTATCAAGCGATGTAACAATGCATTTTTTTGTTCTCCCTTAATTCAACTCTTGTACTGCCAAACTAAAATAAATAGAAGTCATATCTTCATTCAACAATATAAATATTTCAATCCAACATTAAAAGCTTGAAAAGAAAGAGAATACAATACTAAGCAGCTACACCAACATTGAAGACCTAGAATTGCAGCACATTAAAAGCCCGACTTGCTTTGGCTGGACCCTCCCTAACCATACCAATCTGCCAAAACAATAACATATGGATCGAAGTTTTACAAAATTCTAAAGTCCTAAGCACTGTCCTACTAATAAGAAATACATGAAACAGGGAAAAGCATTCTCAAGAGGATTAAAAGAGGAGAAATAAGGAAACAACAAGAGCTAGTAAAAAAAGAAAGTTTGTGGTCAGCCAAGTATAACCATATTGCATATAACAAGAAATAAAAATAGTACTTGAGTATTGACCAAAGAACAAAGTAAGGGAGACATACAACATGCATCAACACAAACAAAAATTAAAAGCATAACAATTACTTAGAGCATGGAAGAAAGCTGGAGTTTGCAGCATTATGTAATTAAAATAAATAACTTTTGACAGTTTTCAAAAGTTCCAAATAGTCTATCCTACAACACTAGTAGAATCAAACATAAGTATCAAAGAAATGGTCATAAAAACATAAGCAAGACCCCAAAAAGTTGAAGAAGAAAAGAGCACAAACCACGCAGGGGAAGCTCCACGACCACAATGATCAGTTCCCAACTGAAATGAAAAGGAAAAAACATTAAATGTAAACATATTAGCATATATACAATCACAGATAGTTCCCAATTTGAACAAAACCACCAAACATGACAGTCCTGATTTTCAATTTTAGCAAAATGCAATCACCATAGTCAACCCCAAACATGACAGCCCTAATAAGGAGAGTATTTAGGACTCAGATTTGGCATTTCACTTGGAATTCGTGCATCAATAAGGTCCAGTAGTCTAGTTCAGTCTTGTACCAAACAGTGCACCAATCCAGGCCAAAGTTAAGTATACCATCAAACAATAGACTCAAAGTCTGGTCCAGTTCCAACCAGCTCAGTCCAACCCTCCAAGCCCAATCTAGTCTTGTCCAATCCGGCCACCAAATGGGGCCTTAGTTCTTACAATTTCAAATTACATAAAAGTTGTAGAGACTCAAAAACTTGCTTTGCTTCCATTCTCTACTCACCATATCTTCACAAATAGCCAAAGGGTGGAATCCAACAACTATGTGCCTATATGTCAATACAAGCCAGTTAGACATTGAAAGATTAGTTGCCACTGAATGAGAAAAAGAACTCAAAGAGTGAGGGCTAGTCTACAACCCTTTCTTAAAGTGGTATTTTCTACACCACACTAATTCCAGTTCATGTAACAGTAGCAAACAGCACTGAGATTATCACAAAAGGGAATTACAAAAGAAAAATAATAAGCAAAAACAAAAGAGAACTCTTCATCGCACAATACTGAATTACTTTTGTTCACGTGAAAGCTATCATATTCTTGCCTCAATCACAATATTGTTCATTTATTCCCAGAAATCTTGGGGTTCAACCCTTCAAAGCATCAGAACCAGAACAAGATAAACAAATTACAATCCAGTCAAACTCACCAATCTGTCAAAATCAAAACAAAATTTATCCATATCAGATGATGATGGGTAAAGGGGGCTCTTAAAATCCAAAATCAAACTGAAAAATTGCTTCTTCAACAATTCCAGTTCATGTAATATAACTTAAAAACAAATTAAAACCCAATTTCAAATAATAAAAAGCACAATAAATAAATATATATTATATTTTAGGCATTGGGTGACAGAGCGATCCTGTGGTTTTTTTTTTTTTCTGGGTTGTTTCGGGGAAAATGTCACACTTCAAATCACCTCTGGCTATAACTGAACACTGTCTGCTTAATCAGAATCTGAACTGTGATCCTCAAGATTTCTCGGTCGAAGCATAGCAGCATCCCTCACTTTTCCAGGCCTGTTGGAAATTAAAAGCCAAAGTCCCCAAACAAAAACAAACAAAAAAATAAATAATAAAAAATGAATTTCTTCATTGCTCTAAGCCTGTAAGACTGAGACAAATCTCATCGGCAAAATATAAGTTGAAATCACTTAGACATATACTTTGTGTTTGATGAGGCATTCGATGTACCAAGTAACTGTTAGCATATGTAGTTGTCATCTTATGGAACGCAAGACAAAACACAAGACATTCCTTGTCTCATGGCACACTTGTCTCATTCCTTGTCTTAGGGAGTACTTTTCTAGACATTCCTTGTCTTATGTAGCCTTGTTTCATGGAATGTTTTAGGGAGGACTTTTGTGTTAGTATAGGATATTACTTGTATAAATGTTTGATAAGAAATAGAAGTTGTAACGTTGTTGAAATCAGAAAAATATGAGCAGCTTCCAAATTCTCTGCACTCTCCATTCTCTCTACTCAATCTTCAACATATCCTCCTAAATTTGATAGTAACTTCAAATTGATGGAATTTACAAAAATTGAGTTTTAAAGCGCAATATATATATATTTATACGATATGCCATGTATTTTCTACTATCCATATACATATATATATATATATATACCTATTCTCCAATGCAGACGTCCGGACGTTATTACTATGCAAACACCATGTATTTTTCTCTCTTAACAATGACGTCCACATGATAATAATGTGCAGAAGTCTGAGAGAATAACTATATATATGTGACTCACATTTTTAACACACATTATTGAAATTGATACTTAGGTGACGAGGGGTAAATTTAACTAAACAAACAAGACACAACAACTCAACAATCAAGAGAACACACAGAGTATGCCACAGAGTACCTGCAGTCCTAGAAGATTACTAGTGACAACCTAGGCACTCAGAAGGACCCATCAATCTAGGCATCCCCTGTGCTAGCAACAACTATGGTGAAAGTGTGTGAAGTCATCAATATCAAGTAAACAGCAAACAACATATATAGATGACTAGTCAACCACCAAGAACAGAAACCCAGATAAATTTACAGATATGCAAAACAGGTTTTGTTTACCCAGAAACCCACCATTGGGAAAAACTGGGAGTCATCAACCGACTAGGCAATCCACTAAGTAGAAAAAGATTCTTACAAAGGAATACAAGCAAGCTCAAGCAAAACCTAGATCTATTTAGGAAGATGAGCTTTACCTCCTTTGTGCAATCTTCTTCTCCAACTTAGCAAAGCTTGAAGCTCAGTTCTTCATGGCAATGGCAGCTCCTTCTTCAGCTCGTTCATCCCATGGCACTAGCTTGCAAGCTTCAACTCAAACCGAAACCAAACTTTGGATTCAAGGGAGAAAGACCAATTTCTTCAAGAAACCACACTCTTGAAGAAATCAGTCACGAATCCGATCTAGATCTATATGAGAGAATGATTTAAATAGCTAGATGCAGATTCATATTTCAAAAGCAGTTTTTCAAAAAGAAATCAATTAGAAAAACTCATAGATGAAATATATGGTTTACTCTTGAGGAAGAAGAAGAGAAAGATGGCAAGCCAATCTTTCCAAAACTTCCACACAAAAGAGACGGCTTCCAAATGAGGGATTTACTTGCTTTTACAGACAAAAGAATCCCTTAGGTCGGACTGACACATGGCAACAGAGAGAGAAAATATAATAGGACAAAACAGATGGTTAACTAGCTGGAAATCGCACTGAGCAAAGATGACTAGTCATCTTTTATGAAAACAGTTTTAATGCATGATATGCAATGCATGATTTTACCTTTGTCAAATTGCTTGAACCTCCATAGGATAGATGAGATTTAAGAACACTTAGAGATGCTAATTTTAATCTATCATTGAGCTTGATAAATACATATAAAAGTCCTATTACAAAATTGTCAAGGGAAGCCAAAAGAATTAATCAAAATTCATACATTAACAATTATGACTCACATTTTAGGCTGTTAGATTAGTGCACATTCAATAGTTCAGATTGCATCTATTATAATAACAAAATTTATAGAATTTATTGATGATTGCTTGAATTTTTTCATAATATTGATGATTGAAGGTCAGCGAAGATCAATAGAATTCAAACACTTTCTCACACTCATTTTTTCTGGTTTAGATTCGGAGAAGAAGAATGGAGAAAAGACGTGTGGGTAGTCAGGTATTGGGGAGAGTAATTTACTTTCCCGAAAAAGGAGAGGAAAGAAATAGTTTATTATTTTGAAAAAGGCTAAAAGTTACTTTTGATCCTTGTAGTTTGGCACTTCAACCACTTTTGATCCTATAATTTCAATTCCGTCAATTTTGACCTTGTAGTTTCGTATTTGTAGCAATTCAAGGACAAGTTAGTATTCATGTCAATTTCTTTGAGAGGAAAGAAATAGTTTATTATTTTGAAAAAGGCTAAAAATTACTTTTGATCCTTGTAGTTTGGCACTTCAACCACTTTTGATCCTATAATTTCAATCCCGTCAATTTTGACCTTGTAGTTTCATATTTGTAGCAATTCAAGGACAAGTTAGTATTCATGTCAATTTCTTTGATGGTGAAAGGGGCAATTTCATCAACCTAAAATCCTTGAGCATAAAAGCTTGTATGAAACTCCCTTAATTTCATATTAGGGCTTGAAATTGGTCATTTGGGTTTAGGGTTCGTCAAAAATTGGGATTAGTGATTGAATTTCGAGCTCTAATATGAAATAGGGAGAATTTCAGACAACCTTTTACACTCAAGAGTTTTGGGTTGGCGAAATTGCCCATTGCATCGTTAAAAAAATTGACAAGAATACTAACATATCCTTGAATTGCTAAAAATACGAAACTACAATGGCAAAATTGACCGAATTGAAACTACAGGGTCAAAAGTGGTTGAAGTGCCAAACTACAGGGATCAAAAGTGACTTTTGGCCTTTGAAAAATGAGTCAGTATTCATCTGGACCGTTAATAGTGCTTGAATCTAAAGGGTTAAAAGTGTGTCAAAATATATATATATCCAAAAGGGAAGACCCTATGGATCTTCCAAATAATTTTATTTGAGAGACACCCTTTAAGGTCTTCTACGATTTTTTTTCAACGATCCAAACCGTCTATTTTTCAAGCCTTCATTCATAGATCATCCTTTCAAAAAATCATGCAAATTGAAAATCATTAAGGCATCTAATTAGGACCAACGAAATAGACGAACACCGTGCTTCAAAAAAAGCCTATAATAACCATCTAATTGAGTGGTCAAATGGTTTCGTATTCAAGTCATTTTTTGCAGAGATGATCTTTAATGGAATATCTAAAAAGTAGATGGTTCGAATCATTGAAATACAATGTGTGGTGGGCCATAAAAGGGTGTTCCTCAAATAGGAGCTTTCTTGGTAAGCACTAGCCATGGACCCAAGGCTTTTATCCACTATACAAAATGAAAAAATTCTATAAAATTCTTTAAATACCACCCTCTGGATAAACCCTAATGCCTATACAAGCAGATAAGGTCGTCCCCAATAGTTGGGGCTCTAAAAGAGATTGATTGAGCCTCATTTAGAGCTCCAATAAAATCTTTAGGGCACTAAGGGCATCTCCCACAATGGTTGGCTCTATATCCGCGACTCTATATCTTTTTATAACATAATTTCTTTTACATGTTAATTTTTATGGTTGTTAACTTATTTTGATTTAATATATGTTTGTGTTATGTTATTTTTTTTAATGAACATACTATAAATAAATAAAAATAAAAATTTAGACAAGATTCGAAAAAACAAACTTTCAAAGTAAAAATAAGTAAATATAAAGTCCTAATGTTAAAAGAAGTTAAAAATTTGTCCTTAAAATCTAGAAACATAGAAAATCGAAGTATTTAACGGAAAATTAGAATAATTACACGATAAACTTCTCCATAAAAAAAATTGAAAGCAAACATGAAAAAAAGAAAGGAAACAAACATAGCAAGAAAAAAAAAAGACAAACAAAACAACCGTTGGAACATAAAAAACAACTTTTTAACTTGATTCAAACATGGGATCCGCTGGTTTTTCATGCTTTTGTATGTTCAGCTTTTCAAAATGTGGGCCCCGTTGGTGCTCTAATGCTCTATATGAGTACACACATTTAGAACTAGCTCCGGCAAGTTTTATGATATAGGACCTGAAAACTCTTCCATTGGGGATCGCCTAAGCAAAGAAAAACAAGAATATTATTACATATACATAAAAGGAGGCCTGCAAGCCTCAGAGATACCAAAATTAAAGAATGGAAGAACAGACTATTGTTTTATTTCAATTATTTACGTTCTTCAGTTGCTTTATGCGAACTTTTGAATATATTTTCCCCCAAACGATGATGATCTTTAGTACTAGTAGCCTTACAGTTCTATTTGATGTTGCCAAAGTCGTCCAATCCCACGTTCGTGGAAGTATCTGCACTAATTTTGTTGTCACAAATGTTGTGACCCACGACACTCTTGGGTTCACCGCCGCCTTCAGCATCCTGGTTGTGAAAGTTGGACATCCCAACGTTTGAGGCTTCATTGCATGCCCTAATTTCATTGTCACTAATATTGCTGCTGCCGCCGTCAACTTCAGTGCCATTTCTAAAGTTGTGAAACCCTTCCTCGGCTCCATCTCCTATAATGGTATTGCTCCTAATGTCGTGACCGTCACCTTTGGGCACCTTTCCTTGACCGCCACGGCCGGCGCTGCTCCAGTTGACATCATTTAGAGGATCATATCCGCTGTTGCTGCCGTACCCTGCCATTATTATGAATCCCTTCAAGTTCACTACTACAATTTTAGTTGGAGAACATGATCATGACCAACAATATTTTACCAAGGCCATATATGCATACTTTAATTATATCATATGCTAGCCTCTACTCCCTTATATATATATATATAAGAAATTTATTGGTGTAATCCTCTCACAGTCACTTGGTCTTTCAGTTCACACATATTATAACAATATTACGTACATAAAATGCATCAGTACATCAAAATTATAGTCAAATCCAAATTCTATACTCAATGGTATTATCATGATACAGTTTAAAATGCTTTGAGTTTGTGTCTTGCTTTTAAAAAAGTTATTAAGTCACATCGGAATTCTATAGTGCAGGTACAAAGAGTTGGTAAGCAACGATGTTATTAGATTCATCATACAATTAAGAGGCTTGAGTCTGTCTCTTAGTTTTGTACTTTTGTAAGATCAAAGATTGGTCACGCTTTTAGATTAAACAAAAGCCTTCGAGATAATCACTCAAAACAAATATAAGTTTTCTAGTGAATATTCAAAGAAAGTAAATAAATTGCATTTCATATTGTTGTTAGGAAATGTAACACACACGAAAAAACAAAAGGAAAAGGTTTGACCCAATCAAAGACTCTATTACATTATAGAACATGAAAATAGGCCTACAAGCTTCGATCACGTACCTAATACATTATTAAATTAAAGCATGTCGTTGGCTTGAATGCTAACTTTGATTTCTTTATTATCTCACCTTCACTCAACCCGCTAGTTGCTTCGTCTTTAGTCTTGTAGCCTAGTTTTCCAAACAAAACAACAACGATTTTGGATGCTTTTACTCTCACAAGTATTAAAACGAAGAAGATGAAAAGAGAGTCTAACAGCCGACGGGGTTTAGCCAGTTAAAAAGGACAGACCCAGGATTTCAAAATAGGGTGAGCTAGATTTACCTTATTGAACTGTTAGATTTTAAACTTGGTTAATCCCTTAAGGGAGGCTTATGGAATTGATTGTGTATATATATATAATTTAAGAACATATCATTTTTATTTTATTTGTTTAAAAGGCCTATTTTACACCAACAATGTCAGCTAAGGTCTACCATGATGAACAAAAATGAATTAAGAGAAAAGAAAATTCAAAAATGAAAATTTATCATCACAAAGATAGTTTAATTGATATTTATGCTCTAAATGGGCTTAACATTAACACTAACTATAAGAAAGAAAGAAAAAACTGCCTGACCGCCAGTGTGGTTGCCAAAGTTTGAAATCCCAACACTCTTGCTTCCATCTGCACTGATGTTATTCCCATGAACGTTGTGACCACGTTCGGGGCCCCTGGGCCCTTCAACATGACCTGTTGTGTTGTGGAAGTCTGAAATCCCAACGTTTGTGCTCTTCTCTGCTGTAATTTCATTCCCACGAATTTCCCACTTGCCATCTCCTTCATTCATCTTGTCTACCTCTGACCCACTTTTGTTTGGGTTTGGGTGTTCTGGCTCTTGACTGCTCTTCTGCTGGGGATTTGGATGGTTTTCAATGCTTCTTCATCAGTTGGAGGCTGATCATAAGGGCGGACGGATTAAGGGACAAGAAGGGTCGCTTGACCCCACGAACTGGCCGGAAAATGGCTATGGACAGCCTGTGGAGGCTTGAGCAGACCCCATGGCGAGCAGAACGACGACCCCAAGAGATACAAGCAGGGTGCTCGACGAAAGGCCACAGAGGTTGTTTTGTTTGCTGCTGTGTGAGACCCTCAATATTACTTTAGATTGTTGGGCTCTATCTCACGAAGAAAACAGTTCGTCAATCGGAGCCCCACAACCAAAGTTCTGAATTTTAGAAGTTTTTAACGACTTTTAGAATTGAAGTTGCAGAGCAAGTTCAACGAAGAAGAAAGAGTCAGCGTGTCTGGGGTTATAATCCAGCACTTCTCATTTTAATTCTTTTTTGAAATGATCCATTAGCAATGCGCTACATGTCTATTTTTAATTGGACTAACTTAATAAATTCATTAAAAAGTCATATGTGCTTTGAAAAATTCATCGAAAATTACCCCAAACTTGTAATCCTGTGTATTTTTATCTCGTGACCTCCAAATCACATGTACGTTTATTTGTTTTAATTATGAATGACATTAATATTATTTACATTTTAAGGGTATTAGTTGTCTATATTTGTTTTCCAAGTCTTTAGACTTTTAAAATTGTCACTCTACTGAAAAATTCATGGAAATTATGAAGATGAAATTAATCTACAAAAACATTAGGAAAATTAATCTTTTATCTCGTGACCTCGAAATCACATGTACTTTTATTGTTTTAATTATGAATGATGTTAATATTATTTAAATTTCAAGGGTATTTAGTTGTCTAAAATTTTTTTGCAAGCATTTAGCCTTTTAAAATTGTCCCTCTACTGAAAAATTCATGGAAATTATCAACAGGAAATTAATCTACAAAAACATTAGGAAATTAATCTTTTAAGCTTTAAAATTGTTGTTTTTTTAATTTTTTTTTAAATTAATGTAGTCCCATGTTTCCTTCTTTTTCTTTTTTTTTTTTAAAATGTGAAATAAATAAATTTTTCTATTTTTTTTAATAAAATAATTGGATAGAAAATGACTCATTTGTCCTGAAAAAAACCTCAACAATTTAGCCTGAAAAAACTTCTACACTTTTTACACTGTGAGCCTATGACCCGAGAATCCTGGATCCGCCAACTATATATGATTGGATGGGATTAGGAGGTAGGATTTGATTAGGTTGAATTGGAAGTATAACACCACATGTATAATATGGATGAAATGTAGCACCACAAGATAATCTAACGGTCATACCAAAGAATTAACAATGGATGAACATGGAGGTGCATGCACCCTATTGAGTAAGAGCCAATTAAATTTTGCTACATGCGTATGTATATGAGAAAATCACTCACCACTCACCATACATCAACCCTTAACCCACACCCCACCTCAACGGTTGTCTCTCTCGCTTTCTTTTATGTTGAATGACCTTGCCGAGTTGACATCTGTATTGTCTTATCTTGTATCGTATCCATACCCATTTTTTAGTATGATGAAAATGTAGAATTTAATTACATTAATCTAATCCTAATACTTATCCTACGCACCAAATGAGGTCGTATTTGGCTTTCTTGATGCCCAAGATTTGTTAATATAAAAAAAAATGTTTAGATGGTGATGTGTTTACTTGGTCTTTAGAAAATTGTATATCAAGCTATGCTAGCCAAATAGACCTCATTGCGGGGTTGACATATGTATTGTCTTATCTTGTATCGTATCCATACCCATTTTTTAGTATGATGAAAACGTAGGATTTAATTACATTAATCTAACCCTAATACTTATCCTACCCACCGAATGAGGTCCTATTTGGCTTTCTTGATGCCCAAGATTTGTTAATAATAATATATAAAAAAATGTTTAGATGGTGATGTGTTTACATGGTTTTTAGAAAATTGTATATCAAGCAACGCTAACACTGTCCCTTACGCGTGTAGCCTCATTCTAGAATCAGGGGTATGATATCATGCTAGACAACCACTAAGCCTCAAAAAGTTGAGCTGTTAAGAAATGAGCCGACAATGTATATCAAGCTAAGCTAATAAATTTGTCATTCATGTACTCTTATGAAAAATGTTGTGTAATTCTTATCATCATCCAAAAAATTTGGAGGCCTTCTACTATGCCTCATGAGCTTAACAAAACTCACGTAACTCCTCGCAATTGCCCTGTTCTTCCTCTATCTCCTCTCTCTCATTCATTCTTCTTTGTTTCAGAAACCACATCACAAAATTGTCTCATATTATTGAAGCTAAGCTGTTGGAATATTTGTTAACCATCATGGTGCCAAATATCCTCCGGTGCTTGTAAACTATTAAAATCATTCATCCTTCTTTCCTCCATAAACAACATCATATATCTATCATCTTCCAAAATCATATATGGAATCTTGTTAGACATGGGATCATCCTAATATACATCGTACTCTGACAAATTCAAAGTAACGAATTATATATATAAACGCCACCCTACATGAACCAAGTATATATAAACCTAGTTTAAAAGAACAAAAATAATGAATTCAACCTAATATTTTTGGGTTTTAATCTAATTTTCTATATAATATATATGGTACGAGGTAATTAATAAACCTTAAGCCATGATCACAAATAACACATATACATAAGAATAGGCTTACAAGCCTGGGTGATTACCGTACGAGTTCTTATTTTCGCACACCGTATACTGTATACATAATAAAATTAAACATGGAAGAAGAGACTACTCTTTTATTTATATTTTTTTTTCATATTTAATTTTCCCAAACCATATGATCGATGATGAGTTAGCCGGTGGGCTCCCCTTGTGGCTTTGGTGGACTGGAGCCGCCTTCTGCTTCTTCTCCATGATCCTCCTCAGTAGTAAAAGGCATGCCGTATGTGGTGTTGCCGAAGTTGTGAATCCCAACTTTCCTGGCTCCATCTGCACTAATTTTATTGCCAGAAATGTTGTAACCACCGCCACGGTCAGGGAAGCCCTTCGTTCCTTCGCTGCCCCCTTTACCTTGGACGGCGTAGTTGCCAAAGTTGGAGACCCCAACATCTGTGGCGTTGGTTGCGGTAATTTCATTCTGACAAATATTGTTCCTGCAGCTGCTGCTGCTGCTGCCGTCTCTATCTCTTTCTTTATTCCTTTTCCTCTCTTCTTCCTCAGTTATCTTTCTCTGGAGCTTTGGAATATCATTTCCTTTTGGGCGCAACATCAGTGTTACTGTTTCAGCTGGAGGCTGATCCTGGCTAAACCCTTTTTCCCTATCCATATGCACTTGAATTAACTCATATGTTGACCTCCTCCTCATATAATAGATTGTCGATATATAGCTGGCTTGATTGCCGAGTAAATGGGTTTGGGGACAACAACAAAAAATGGAAAGAAGGAGGAAAGTTAGATTGTCATCTCAAGATGTATTTTTTAAATTAAAATTTTGGTTGTTAGATTGAATTTTGATATATTTATACTTAGGTTTGACGATGAAATAATTGTAGCCAAAGAGGAAATTCTAAATAACCCAAAAAATAAAAATAGTACAAGTGGGCTTGGAGCTGATGACCTAAATGCGGGTTTGCCCTGAATTATAGCATAATTGTCAATTTTTCCCTTAAGTTTTTTTTTTTTGTTGATAAATTTTTCCCTTAATTTTTCCCTTAAGTTTTTTTTTTTGTTGCCCAAAAGATCACCAATGTTATTATTATAATTTCTGCACTTGTTGTTCTGCCTCATGTTACATTAGCTGGTTATGGTCAAAAGAACAGCTAATTTTAGCTTAATTTATTAGATTAAGATTTAATCTTTTTTTATGACTCAACTACTTCCAAATGCTAATGAAATATTCCCACATGACCCCATGTTCCTAACTGTCTAATCATAAGATGTTTACAAAGCCAACTTCCAAACAAGAAAAAGAAGTGAAAGAAAACAGTAGTTAGGATTACATAAACCAATGGTTTCAGTCTTTCAGATAAAAAATCATGTGCATTGCAAGCTTTGGGCGGCAGCCAAGGAAAATCAAAATCTACACTGGTACATTGTTGTTTAATTTTATATGACCATCTGTATCGAATCATTCCCAATCCTTGGTCAACAATCATTAATTAACTAAAAGGGTTCGTGCTCTTAATTGAATTATTATACGTTAATGGAAGACCATTATCTTGTCCACAAGCTAATGACCATGGGAGCCATAAAGTCTCTTTTGAAGGATTACATGTTATTCATTGCCGTGTTTTAAAACTTGAAATCGAATGAGTATATATCGAGTAATGTTCTCTTGTCAGATTTATGTTGTCACACAGATAACTAATTGTCTATATTTGTAATATGAGCCACACACTAAACTTATCAATTGTTCGTAATCATATATAGTATGATAATTTAAGTATCTTATATATGTTTATTTCTTTTTGGGTAAAAAGGGAGGCTACAACACTGTAGTTGTCACTTTGACAGAAAGGTAGAATTTTGAGAGCCTTTTTTCTCTGCTTTTCTTCCTTCTCAGTGAAGTAGGTTTTCATTATGAGATTTTGATAAATGGTTTTTAAAATCTGCTTTGATATTTGAAATCCTCTTCACTCATTCATTCATCATTTTTGAGAGAGAGAAAGAGAGTCATTTTCTTCTTCTCCTCTGCAAATGGTGAGATGAGTGAGATATGAGGTTTCCAAAATGAGATTTTCAAATTATTTTTGAAATTTGCTTTGTTATTCAAAATTTGCATCTAGGATAGTTAAAACACATTCTTATTCATATCTAGATCAGATTCTTGGATTAATTTCTTCAAGAATGGTTTCTTGAAGAAATCGAACTTTTATTCATTGAATCTACATATTCATCGATCTGTCAATCCGGAGTTGAGTTGCAGTGCCATGGGGTGAAGGAGCTGATGGACTAGCTGCCATTTCCATGAAGGACAAGCTACTAGCTCAACTAAGTTTGGAGAAGAAGGTTGCACATAGAGGTAGTGCCCATTTCCTAAATAGACTTGGGATTGCTTGAGCTTGTGATTACTTTTTCTGTAAGAACCTTCTTAACTTAGTGGATTGCCTGGTGGAGTGATGACCCCTAGTTTTTCCCAATGGTTGGTTTCTAGGTAAACATTTATTGTGTGATTCTCTGATTTATATGCCTAGTTATATTGTTTGTGTTATATCTGAAATGTTGATGAATGTTCACATACTTATCACTCTAATTGTTGCTAGCACAGGGGATGCCTAGATTTAGGGGTCATCATTTAGCCCACGGGCCCATGGGCCGATGAGGGCCAGCCCGGCCCATTGAGAAAAAGCTCGGCCCGATATTTAATGGGTTAGGCTTGGGCTTA